GGTGGGAGCCGTGGGGAGCAGAGTTGGGGGCAGAGGCTGAGGGATGGGTACTTGGAGCCCACGGTGCCCACCCTGAGGCCGAGAACCTTGAGCCCAACTTTCCACCAGACCTCTGTGCCCATTCCTCCTCTGGATTCAGAAGGTGGGGTCCTGAGTTGGCTCTGTGTGTCCTGGGGAAAGCGCTGCCATGTTCTGGACCTTCGTGGCTCTGTCTATAAAACAAGGCATTGGAAGCTCAGATCTTCCCAGGCTTGCAGATGTCACAGGCTAGTGAAATGTCCAAAAGGCAGTTCCAACGTCCAGCCACGGATATATTTTTATTTTGCCAAATAAGGACATCAGAGCCACATCCTCTGTGCTCTGCCTGGACCTCAGCAGAGCGGGAGAGGCAGAGTAGAGGCCAGAGGACACAGGGCCCCAGGTCCTGGTTCCTGTCATTAGTGACTGGCAGCGCCGGTGTCAGCCTTTAAGAGCCTTGAACGCCCCTCCCACACCCTTGTAACGGGTCCTGCATCCTTGCCCAGTCAGGCCTGGGGAGGCTCCCAGTGGATACAGAACGGTGTCAGGGTGGAAGCGGAGACTTCAGAGCCACACACTGCTAGTACGAGCTTTCCCAGATGCCAGCCCCTGCTCGGGCCTGTTGAGTATGTGCTTCTGTCCAGTGTGGCTGACTGAAAGAGTCCCTCAGGTCCCACCAACTGGCTCTTTGGCCCTCAGAGCTTCCGGGTGGACACCCCAAGCCTCTGCGCTTCCCCACCTCCCATGTCAGAGGCCTTGGAGGTGGCCCAAAGTGCTCCCCTGCCTGGAGGGAGTGACTGGCTCTCGTGCTTTACTGAGCACTTACTCTGTACCAGGCATGGGCAAGCTCTCTGCATGGCGGCTGCTGGCCTTCAGAACATCCCTGTGAGGCGAGTGCCGCTCTCCTCATCCTTGTTTTATCGATGAGGAGCCCCAGGGAGGAAAGTGAAGTAATCCACCCCAGTAACTTGCCGAGCAAGGTTGGTTACAGAGCGATCTTTCCACCGTCCCTGAGCTTCTTCCTTGTTCCGGACCCCTCCAGGTACACCTCCGTATTGGATCTTGTGAAGATGTGGGCCAATGAGAGGCAGGATTACTCATTCCCAGCTCCGAGCGATTGCAATCCTCACTGTCCCTGGCACTGCAGAGGCCCTGTCTGCACCCACTACACCCAGGTACTCCCCCGCCAGGGCTCAAGGCCATGCAGAACAATCCCTGGCACCTCTGAGGGGGAGGCATGGTGTGGCATGACTGAAATTGTAGTACTCCGGGGCTGAGGCAGGAAGATTGCTGCGAGTTCAAGGCCAGCCTCGGCTACATAGTGAGCTCAAGGGCAGCCTGAATTGCATAGCAAAACCCTGCCTCAAAAACAAAAGCAAAAAATAAATAAATAAATAAAATAAAAATAAAAGCCACACTCAAACCAGGAAAAAGAATGAAGGGGAACAGAAATGAAAATTAAAAGCAGAGGCCCGACAGGCTTCCTTTTGTTTTTTG